CACACCAAACAGTTACCTTTTCGGGATAATATATATATACATGTTAAATTAAATAATACGAAAAGAAAGACTTCAACTAAACGTTTCGCCTCTGACCAGAGGCATCTTCAGTAAAATTCTTTTTTAATCATTGAAAGTGGGTAACATTTTTCAGTAATTAACAGCTGGAAGATAAATCAAAAATAATATTAAATTAAGTGTTAAGTATTCAAGAAAAGAGGGTTACATACCTTGGCGAGTACCGCATAATTCATTATTATATTTGGCTTTTTTCCACATTATCATTTTAAAAATCAATGTTATAGTTGTTCCGTTTTTCCATCAACTATGTTATAGTTGATAATTTTTAAAATGATAATGTGGAAAAAAGCCAAATATAATAATGAATTATGCGGTACTTGCCAAGATATGTAACCCTCTTTTCTTATACTTTCAATGAAACTTTCAATTTCGGGCCTACACGTTTTTCTCAATTGAATAACTTACTGATATTACTACATAGATGTGTGTACAGTTGCCTAGTTAGTCTAACATTACATAGTATTACACGCAGGACGGACGGAAGATGGGATATGGTGCCATGCAAGGAATCCCCATGGTGGCTTCTTCACCGGTACGGCATGATTCTCCCATTGGAGTTCATCCACTGGAAGTACAAGCCTACCAACCACCCTGGAAGGCTCTCTCGGACTTCGCCCTACATGCCGACCTCGAACAACCACACCAACCGGCCTTCCAACAGCTCGTCAATCAGGTAAGAATAAAAAATTTGAAACAATGCGAAAACCATATTATTACGTCTTCTCAATATTTTTAGTAGACCAGAGCGGCGTCACTTGTCAGGAATTTGTTTAAATTAGCGTTGGGTTTTTTGAAAGATGAATAGCATTACCCATGATAATAATTATACAATTTTCGGGATGGATTTTATGCAGGATGCGTCTCGCTATACGACGTTGAAACGCGCATCGTGACGAGTGTGGCAGTTCTGATGTTTGAGATTTGGATTTATGCTACGCCAGATGTTTTAGCTGCACCTTTTATTTTTTGCAACACTGACTTTTGAGAATCGGACTAGTCATTCCAAAATTATTACCAGGTGTAGTTTGTTTTTAACACTTTGTTTAATTGAAAACTCACTTGGATTTACCTGATCTATGTCATCAATCGTTTAGAATTCATTGGAGTAAGAGGATCCACCCTCAACCTTTTTTAAAATTACTCATCTGGCAGAAATTAGATTGTTAAAATCAACAATATTTATAGTGATCACCACCTATAACCACGGGCGTCCCACAGGGGACAGTACTAGGCCCAATTCTGTTCTTAATATACATCAATGATATTTACAAATTAGAAAACATCCAAGGCAGCATTATATCTTATGCAGATGATACAGCTCTGTCATTTCTCGGCAATACGTGGGACAACGTTTTTAAGAGAGCTGAAAGGAGACTCACAACTGTTTTCTCTTGGTTAAACACAATAATTTTGAGCCTAAACATCGCTAAAACTAAATACGTAACATTTATCCCCACAAATAAAGATCAACCTTCCAAAAACAAGCTCACTATACACAAACTTATTTGCCAAACACCAATGATATGCACATGTCCTTGTCCTACAGTTGATAAGGTAAACAACGTGAAATATCCTGGTGTATATGTAGAGAAACATCTACGATGGGACGAACATGTAGAGCAGACCGTTAAAAGACTTAATCTTATAAATTCTACCAACTCAGAAATCTCAATAATAAAATGCTACTAACAATGATATATATAACTCACTCGTAGAATCAGTTCTGAGATATTGCATTATAATATGGGGTGGCGTCAGCAAAAGCCTGTTACATAATCTAGAGGTAATGCAAAATACTATGCTGAAAATCATTTTCAATCGTAAAAAAAGATACTCCACTGTAGCACTATACAAAGAATCAGAATTATTTGATGTGAGAAAATTATACACTTATCACTGCATATTATGGATGCATAATAACCCCCAATATAAATCATAATTATAAAACCCGAGCCAAACTTCATCAAAAAACAAATGTCCCTCGCTGTAGATTAACTTGCACTCAGAGATTAATATCATACTCTGGCCCAAAACTAATAAACCTAGCGACAGCTGATTAACGGAAAAACAGATTTTATAACAGATTAGACCAATCTCCAATAAATACAAATTCAAGTCACAACTGAAAGAACATGTGAATCAAAACTATGACATTGAAATCTGTCTATGAACTGGATTCATAATCGAAGTTCTCTCTAGGCTATGGAACTACATCCTATTGTAGGTAATATCTTGAATTAGTTTAACAATCCAAAGTCACCTTCTCTTCGAATATTACTCTCTCTTTCCACCAGTTTTCCTGCCTTCCAACTATTTGTATCAGTTTTATTTACATTATCGGTATGAGTGTTTGCTTCATTATGCAACAATGATACCTCATTTATATGTATGTGTTTATGTATGTATATATGTATATAGGTGTGTATGTATGCATATGTATGTATGTATGTATGTGTATATGCATGTATATGTGAATACATGTAATCAACGTTTAAGTTGTTTATAGATTGATACTATAACTCAAGCTCTTCTTAGGTAGATCAGCCTTCAAAATTCTTCATTTTTCATTCATTGTAGTATGTAATTACCTGAATAAATTTATCTATCTCTCTATCTATCTAATCATAGGCAATATGACATCATATAGGTTTTAGCTTTCTACTTCTCCATGTCTATAATAAAAAGATGTGGTAATCTTCCTATGAAAAGTAAGGAAGCAATCAACACATCATTGTATATAGGTAGTTATTTTTTTTAATTGATTGCTTCCTTCCTTTCTTAGGAAGATTCTCACATTTTTTTGTATGAAGACGTAGAAAGCGAAAACCTTTCTTTCCCAAAAATTAATCTGTCCTAAAAATATACCCCTTTCACTTCAGATATAATATAATTTCACAACATATCTAGACACAGAGATACGGTTGAACTTTTTTCGAATATCAAGTATGACTTTTGTTTGAAGGAGATTGTCTGATATTATATAAAATGATTTGAAATCCTTGAAAGAACTAATAAAAAAATTAAAAATGAAAAGCTGAAAATAGTTATTGTATAAAGCTTGAACACTTAAATAAAAATAATAAATTGAGAGATTCCAAGTCAAGTTACTTCACGACGTTTCGATTCCTCCGAGAGATGACTATTTATGGGTCATTCGAGTACTTTCACTCATCTCCGCTTTCCTTTTTCCGCTTCAACGGTTTAGAGGGAGATGACCGTTTGGCGGGAGTTGGCCATTTTTCGCTAGATTATGGGTTTCCATATGTTGCGTATCTCTACGCTAGCTTGGCTGAACACATTGTTGGACAACATGTATACCGCTTCTTTGAATTTTCTCCTAAACCCAATGTTCCTCCCTGTGTATGATCCCAGCTTGGAACCACTCGATGTTATGTTGATGGGTCCAAATATGCTCGGCTATTCCTGATTTGCTGGTTTCTCTTTTGTCTGTGTTTTTCTTGTGCTCGGCACAAGGGATTTCAAATCATTTTATATAATATCAGACAATGGAAGTCCGAACTAATGAAATTCAAGTATGATTTTCTTGAAATATACCACTGTGCTCAAAACTGGTACTTTCACTATCACTACTTTCCTGATTATAAAATATCAGTTACTAATCATAATTCATAACATACTAAAATATTTTCCAAATTTAGAGCTATATTTTCGAAACTCAAATGCATTCAATCAGAGAATGAAAGTATACCACGAAACAAAATGGATTTTCTTCATTTAAAATTACCGAGAAAAAACTGTGAACAAACAAATCAATACCGCTTATTGGATAATCAATATAAAAAATATTCAGATATTTTTCAGCAGTGTTTTTCTTTTCGATAAATCAGAGAGAGCGCACAGTATAGATAAATAGGGCATTTCATTAAGCGCTTTGTATCCTTAAATTTGAATAAAACTAAATTTTTAATTCGTTTGAACGACCTATTGGTGACATTATGTGTGGAGTATAGCATAAGACAGGCTTAATTTGACCGATGGTATGGGTTATGTTGGCTTTGAGGACGGCTGTGGTTTGCGGCTTATTGGCGACTTGAAAAACCCCCAGAAGGAAAAGTCTAACGGAGTCAAATCTCACGATCTCGGTGGCCAGTTCAAGTCACCTTCACGTGAGATGACCATTTTTCAAATCGCTCGCGTAGAATATCCAATATGGCATGAATGGTGTGGCAAATAGCGCCGTCCTGTTGAAACAACATGTCGTTGATGTCCAAATTATCCAATTCAGGCCAGAATAAGTTGGTGATCATAGACCTATAGTGCTCGCCGTTGACAGTGATGGCTTGGCCAACGTCGTTCTTGGCGATGACGCCGCCAGCCCAAAATCCACACCAAACAGTTACCTTTTCGGGATACATTGGACGCTCTTGTGGATTGATATCATCCCAAATTCGTCAATTTTTTTCTTTACGTACTCATTCATCCAGAAATGGGCCTCATCGTCGAAGAGGATTTTTCTACGAGAATTAGGGTCAGTTGTCAACTGCTCCAGAGCCCATTCAGCGAACACACGTCGTTGTCAATGATCCTATACCTTCAGTTTTTGGGTGAATTTTGTACAGGTTCAGGCCTGAGTCACGACGCAAAATTCGACAAGTTGTGGTCTGTAAAAGACCAAGTTCTTGTGAGCGACCCGAAGTCGACTGCACCGAAGTCTCCTGCACACTCTCACAGATAGCGGCTATGTTTTCGGAAGTATTGATCGATCGTTTACTGAACCAGTGGACTCAAATTTATCCACCGCATTGCGAATAGTCCTCTCTGTAGAAAATTTGACTGGAAAGAAAATGCCAAGGCAATGGCAGGCCTGTCAATGAAGAATCTTTCCTGTCCGGTCTGAAGAATGTTACGTACCGAATTGAGAGAATTCTGAGAAACGCAACATGAAGTGGATATTCTGGCTAATGAAAACCCTCAGAGGAGTTTTAGATCAGCCAAAAAGGACATTTATTCAAGATGGGAGTTTTCGGTTCCTTCGTATCTGTGGATCGGCGTACAGTGGAATCACGAATCGCGTTTGAAGAGACCTAAGTACCTACTCGATAGCATCATCAGGTCTTCCAATAAGGAAAGCGAAATATCATCAGTATTAACATGAATAAAATCCGGCTACATGCACTTGATTGCAGGTGAGATAGAGTTGGAATCCCGAATCATTATTGTAGTATCTAATGTGGGATAACTAGAGCACTTCGTCCGTTGCCTCCTCGACAATGTCTACCGCAGTCGTAGACGAAACGTCAGACAAAAACCGCAGACCATCGCCCATAAACCCGAAAAAAGCTTTGACACGATAAATTCATCGCTAATAAATAGCTAAATTGCTAATGTTGCTCTTGGCAACGAATAACATCACATAAATATTTTTTCTAAGTGGAAGGTATATCCTCCAAAGCACGTTCACAGTTGGTGTCTGAGGTAGCAGATGTCTGTCAACCCCAGCAAAACTGTGATAATCCCCTTCACCAGGAGGAGAAAATTGGACGATCTAACGCCACTTTCCTTCAATGGTGAGGTCTTTCCATTTGGAACGAAGATGAAATATCTTGGCATTGTCCTTGATGAAATCACCTGGAACGCTCACTTGAAACAGCTTTACACAAAGCCAGACTGTCCCTATGGACAGTCTGGATTTGTGGTAAAACTTAGGGTTTAGGTCCCAAACAAATCCATTGGATTTATGTTATGATTGTCAGACCAATGATCACTTATGGTGCAATTGCCTGGTGGCCGAAGGCTCAACAGAAAACGGCCCAAGCGAAGCTCTCTGACTTACAGAGACAGGCTTGTCTGGTCATCAGTGGTGTCATCAATACCACATCGTTAGCGGCCATGGAGATCCTTCTACATCGACCTCCTCTCCACATTTTTCTGGAAAGAGAGACTAGATAGACTGCACATAGACTTGTGCACATTGCCAATTGCACAAATCAATTTAATGCAGAGTATAATAGACTGTTGGTTGACACTGGGAATGACCTCTGACTTTATGCCTCCAACTGTCAACTACGAACTGCCTTATAAAGTACTTTTCCCGAGTAAAGAGGACTGGATCCTCCGAGAGAAGGAAACATTAAGAGCAGATAGTTTTTGGTTCACAGATGGATCAAAAACACCTTCCGGTTCTGGTGCAGGTGTTTTCAGTTGCAGACCCAAGACAGAGATATCAACCTGCCTAGGAACCTATGTGATTATATTTCAAGCGGAAATTTACGCTATTGAATTGTGTGCGGAGAGATTGGAAGAATCCAACCTCATACACAAGTCAATAAAAATATTGTCGGACAGTCAAGCGGCATTGAAAGCTCTTGGCTCCTTCCAAGCAACGTCTAAATTGGTAGCAAATTGCCAAAAAAGATTCCCGGCCATACTGTCTTAAAAGGCAATGAGGCTGCTGACTCCCTTGCTAAGAAGGGTGCTGCAAGCAGCTTCATCGGACCAGAATCTGTCATCGGCATCGCTTTAGGCTTTGCCAAACAAAGATTGAACACCTGGATGGACTTCTGGCAGAATCTTCCAGGATTGGCTCACTGCAAGGCGTTTATTCACCCTAAGAAGCTTGATACCAAACAGTTGTTGGACTACAGTAGGGCTGAACTACGATGTCTAACAGGCCTTCTCACAGGTCACTGTCATTTGAATCATCATATGCAGAGACTCGGACTGTCGGAAGACAGTGTGAGTCGCCTCTGTTTGGAAAATGATGAAAAAACAGAGGACATAATGTGTGCCTGCCCCGCTGGGGAAGCAATCAGGTTTTTAGAGTTCGGCAGAGCCGAAGAGAAGGATTTTTCATAACGCCGCTGTATGCATGTACAGCGATCTATCGATGGTTGTTCTGGATTATACCGAAGGCGCATCAGACATTTTGGTGAAGCCCCCGGGATAATTGTTTACTAGTGAGATATCGGCGACTTCGACAGAAAACTAGTATTAATATGATTTCGCAGAAACTAAAGAAAGTAACATTATAGAGTCTAGTAAATAAAGTGTGCTGTAGAAATATAACTATAAAGTAATTGCATCACCTACTACCGTTGCTGAAATGATTTATTTCTCATTTTCTCCCATTCATGTGGGAGCATTTAAAATAATCTCTCATGGAAACTTTCAACGTTTCAAAAGTTTGAACCAGTCAGCAACATAAGATTAGAGAGCGAAAAAGAAACAAATGATCCTCTAAAATACATCATAGTAGACAATTGAAAGGATCGAATCTGTCAGAACACGACTATCAAGTTTATTAGAATAATATGAGGTTGTCACCAATGAATCACATACCAGAAGCCGTGAGCTAAAAGAATTGATGTACTCACTCCTGTATAGAAACGCACATATAATTAAAGTATATATGAACCAAATTCATGAGTCTTCAAATATTAGAGCCGTGTTCTTGAACATAAGCCTAAAATGTTTGTATCCAGTTCAGAATTGACCCTGGTATTCTTGCTCAAAATATTGCTACAAATACAACGGTGGTATTCGTTTTGATTTGGTGAAAGGTTATTCACATAAAGAAATCATGACGGGGCAAGAACTGAACCCTGTGGTACACCCAGTTTTACAGCCTGATCATTCTATCCATAATTTTACATTGGTTAAACAATCCTAGATCCGATAGTTTATCTATTGATAATTTGATGCACACGGTGTTAAAAATATGTGACAAGTTGAAAAATAATTGTGATTTTTAACCAAATCGAATAATATTGTGAAGTGCGTGACCCGTAATTTTAATTTCAGATGCATGGCTATGACCTTCCTCCACCTTCGATAGGGCCATCGCCCGGAGCCCCTCACCCTGGCCTGCTGGGATCGGGGGGGCCAGGAGCACCATCATCCGATTCCATGACCCACCCAGACAGTACAGACAGCTACGTGACCTACCTTGAGAGCGACGAAAGTCTACCCGCCAGCCCCTAACATATTGATGCGGGCCCAGTCAACTAGCACCTTCCTTCACCTCTTCTCATGTGCTGGGGAGCTCTCCTCATGCAGCAGCTCGCTTGTTTCCTGCCCTCGACGCCACCTTGATGAAATTTCGAGAACAAAATTGTGTCGTTTGATTTGATTTAATTGATATACAAAAAGTATTCCCTTGAGCGTTTTTGAGTACGCCACTGTTGACTTTATATTCTCGGTGAGAGAGGAATTTTTTTTACTTAGATGATGATCAAATTTTGTGCGAGGTTCAGAAGATATACCAACACATAACCAAACACTTTTAATATCAAAACTGATGTTTTTTAAGAAATTATACCTCTCGTAAGGTTTCTGTTTTTTGCGCATACATTTTTCTCTGAGCACTGTAAAATAGTAACATTGAATTAATTTCAGGATAATTTCAATCAAAATTTAATCCGTCATTTTCAATAATTCCTTTTGCTTCAAGTTCCTGAAATCGAATATTTTGTGATATTCTATGTGTTCGTATCATGTGCAGATTGAGATTTTAATCTCGTAACAGGAACCTCTAAAAATATTTTGATTCAATAGCAGCAAAGTTGAAATATTTTTTTAATGTCTCATATTTATGTGTTTATGTTATAAAAAGAGAGCACTTAGCTAATCAAAACATACAACTCTAGTCTTTGCCTTTATACTTGATTATTTCTGAAACATTTAGTTATCTTCTTCTCTCATCTCCAACTGAAAATAGAAAAAAGTAACTGTGTCAACTTCAAAAATATTTAGGAAGATTATATAATCAACAACTACTTTAATAATTTTATTTTTCTAATTATTGAAAGAAGTATTATACTGAATTATTCAAAAATGTTCCCATTTTGACAGGTGGGTCAAAAGTAAACAAAAAGTAAACTATTAGTGTGGGTATAACGAAAAAATGCCTGTACCTATAATTACGAGTTATGTAAGTTCTGGAGAGCAATTTTGAATTCTGAAAAAATTGAAAACTAAAAATAATAAACTGACTGTTTAACTAAAACCAGAGAGTTACAATTTCAAAACCCAGATCATATTTTTTGCTTTCCACCACAGAAATTATTATTAATATTTAAACTCCTACACCATTGGCATAGCTAAGAATTTTATTCAGGGTAACAGCTATTATTCTCGGCGATGAAGTATTTATCCAACCTATCAGCTACCAGGTTTCAATTTGGCTAAGTCGATTAGAAATAAACTATTTTTTATTAAAATTGACAAAATTTGGATTCAACTACAAAATTCGGAAGTCTATTACAGCTATCAATAAAGTAAGGCGTTTGATTTGATGCCTCATGATAATGGAGAGCATTCACTATCCTTATATAAGGTGGCGTTGTCTTCAACTCTGCAGTGCAACAAAGATGTGTTTACGACAAATTCCATTGATTCTTTTTCTCTAGATGAAAATAACAGAAACATTATATTTTCTCTCTCTCTCACCGATTCACAAGAATAATCAATGTATTTGTATCTAGTTCACAACATCGACACCAGGGGGAGTATCGCTTTTTTTGAATTGCCTATAAGACCAAGTTACATATATCAATTGAACAGAATTGAAAGAATTGAACAACCATGTTATGTATAAATTTATGTTTTGTTCTTGTTATAATTTAACTTTTTTAGGAAATGTGTGTGAAAACCGATTTTTTTTTACAAAAATAAATCAAGTATTTCCATAAATTGTTTTGCACAGAGGAATGTAGTTTTTAATTTCAATCAATTGCCAATGGATCAACTGTAGAGTATGTCATAAAAGATTATTGAATTTACCTTCAAAAAAGATAGCAATCCCATAGAACATTTAAATACCCCAATGAGAATACTTCCAAAATGTTACTTATCCCTTATAAATACGTAAAAAACATAATGGCGTATTTGACCAATTATATTTATTCCAATGTTCATAAATTTGATGTATACTCAGTGAATATAGATGGGATGGCAATAAGCGAGAATGAATATTTTTGCTAAAGTTGACAAATCATGTGAATTGATCTTCTATTCTAATGGACTTAATGTATATTAGGTCATTTGTATCTATTGTAATATGTTGTACAGTTTGTTGAAAGTTCATGTCGCTATTTTGTAGATGTTATTTGTTTCTAAACGATCCAAGTGTATAATATTTTTACAGAATTTCGAATCACATTATTTATTGCAATGAATTTTTAATCTTGTAAGTAATTGATAAATCTACAGTATGTGTACATAATTAACTATGTTATATGACATGACTTGTAAATAAATAAGTGACTAAGTCAAAATTTCTTCGTTTTTTATTTATGGAATAGCTAAAATGTATTACGATGTAAAACTTACAGTAATAATGAAACCACACTTCAGTATCAAATATTTTAAAAAATGGACCCTTAAGTGTTGAGTGTTTGAAAGGAAATGCTGTTATCTGTATCTAATAATTGTACAGAGTGGGCCAAATTGGACACTTCTAAAGAGAATCTCCTGTTTTCAAACTAGATAGATGAAAACTGATAGATGTGTCTGAGGGTGAAATTTTATGACAAATTTAATGATTAAAACCGTATATCGATATCTATCATCGTTTCTGAGTTACATGTTTTCGAAAAAGTGCATTTTCAAAAAGTTGCTGTAACTTTTTTCGTGTCGAAAATTCCTTGTATCTATGAAACAATTTCCAAAGCACTTTTTACGTAAAATGTTCCTGCATATTTCAATAGAGCTCAAAATTACCTTTGCAAAAATATAGCGCACTTGATGTTTTGTTAAAGTCGACTTTGAAATAGAAAGCGTTTAGGTTTTTTCATGTAGACTCTGAAATGCACAGTTTGATCAAGTAGCCTTTGGACGATGCGGCAATAAAACAGAAAAGACGCTCTTCAATTAGTGGTTTTTGTTAAAGCAGCAAGCAATTTGTATCACGAGAGGTATCCAGAGAGAAGAGACCTTTTTAGAGACATTTTCGCAAGATTGTGACATAACCTTATTGATGGTGGTCAATTTGAAAAGAAAAGGCAAAAACTATATGAATCAAATAGAGATAAGGAGTTGTAATAAATAGTCGTTCTAGGAACTGTTGAAAATAATCCAAAAACGTCAACGCGAAATTTGAAAATATTAACAGGCCTACCAAAAACTAATGTTTGGAGGATTATGAAAAATAAAAAACACAAATTCAAGCCATACAAGACCAGAAGATTTCATCAACTCAGGCTTTTTGCCAATGGTTCCTGGAAAGTTGTAACCAGGTGCGTGATTTTTAGTTAAATTGTATTTGGACAGACGAAGCTTATGTGATCAGTGCCGGCATTTTCAATCGCTACATTTCTTGTACTTGGGCACAACAAAATCCTCATTTTATTGTGAAGCAGAGAAGTCAAGGAAGATTTAGTGTGTGTGCAGGTATTTTCAGGGGTAGAATTATCGGCCCGTTCATTTATAATGGCACTCTCATATCTCTTTGACACTGGATATTTCCAATAATAACTCATTAACAGGTAAACTCAAACAATATAGGTTTCTTCTTTTCGAGTCCGGTTCCATAATATATTTCATCTCAAGAATATTCTTTTTCTCCGTCAGTGTTTCGATATCGTTCACTATGGAGTAGAATTGCAAATAAATCTTAATTTTTTTCACGATACAAAATGAGAAATGCCGAATTTTCAGACTTTCCGAAAAATTTACCCCTAGCGAGATCTGGTGGATAAATGGATTGTTACTTCCCTCAATCTCAATTATTCACTTAAAGGCTCAGCAGTTTCAATTTGTCTCTATATAAGTATACAGTGTTGATAAAGAGATTCGAATTCAATATCGAATTGAGATCAAATTGCCGAATGTTTTCAAATTTGAATATTCTGTAAAATAAAAGCATTCAGAAAATTTTTTTGCGCTCTCTGAAGTGTCCGAGGCAAATAACAATTATATTCTTCTCCTTCTTACGTCCATCTTCGCTCCATCAAATATACAGTGCATATTTCTTATCAAGTTTCAACTATTCAATTCCTATATGGGGTACATGTGGACAGACATTATTCAGTAAAAATACTTCAAAACAAAGTCGTGAAAATGTTATTCAGGCTTTTCTACAGAACCTCAGCTGATACTTTATACAGTGTAACCAAGATACTGCCTATTCAGGATGTTCTAGAAATCGAGCAAGGTAAATTTGCATACAAGGTTATACATCAACAAGTCAAATGTAATACCAACTTCATACAATATTTATTCTTGAAAAATATCATTCGTAACAAACAAAATAACAAATCTACTATGACTAATGTTAAAATGTATCCAGTAGTAACCAAGACATTCTCCAACAAATAGGTATTTAGTTGAAGGGGATTGGAAACACATTGTTTTTTTGAAGGCGGTATAAATAGATATTCCTTTGAATTATACTGTCAACAGACACATCGCACCCATCAATAAGACCGACTTGGCTTATAAGTGGGATTATTCGTGATATTCTTCAGTTTACTTCGAGAGCGCGTTGAATAAATAGCTATACAACATGGAAGCTAGTTGTTCGGGAATCGTGAAGCGTCCGAAATTGTCACCATTAAATATAAATGAAAAAACAATTGTTATGAATGTATATAATTCTTTGAGAATACAATATCCGTCTGAAATAAAAAGTAAGGAGGAAGTAGTGCAAAAATGCACGAGTATGACAGGTGTCAATAGATCGACAATTTTTAGAATTCTCAAGGAAAACAACAACTTTTTCGAGCCGAAAGTATCCACTGGTAGAAAGTGTTTGGTTATCGATGAAGAAGTCAAGAATTCTATTAGGAGAACAGTACACTCTTCTTACATAAAAAACGAAATACCTACATTAAATAAAGTTTTCTCAGTTATTCGTGAAGACTGTTTTTTTCCTGATATAAGAAGAACTCGATTATGGAAGATAATACATGAGCTGAATTTCACTTTTGGAAAGCAAGATAGAAAGAGCATGTTAATAGAAAAATCAGAGATTGTAGAATGGAGAAGAAATTATTTAAGAGAAATAAAGAAAGCCAGAGCACTAGGTAAATCAATTTTTTATTTGGATGAGGGTCAATGAGGGTCATACCGTCTCGAAGGTTTGGCAAGATCAGAACATCAAAAGTGGAAGACAAGCCGTTATGGAAGGTTGGTCCACTGGTTTGAAAATTCCAGTTGGAAAAGGTCGTCGTCTTATCATCACTCACATAGGCAGCAGTGAAGGATTCGTGAAAGATGGATTGATGGTGTTTGAATCGAAGTAAATGGAGATTATCATCATGAAATGTATGCCACAGTATTCGAAGAATGGTTTAAAAACATACTTGTAAAACTTCCGCAAGAATCCGTAATAGTAATGGATAACGCAAGTTACCACAGTAGACGAGTAGAGAAGCTGCCGACGTCGTGTTGGAAGAAAGCAGATATTACTGAGTGGTTACAAATGAAAGATATTCCTTTTGAATCGACCATGTTAAAAGCGGAGCTCTTCAACTTGGCTAAACGTCATAAGTCAAAATTCGTCAGGTATGTCACCGATGAGATGGCGAAAACTAAAGGAATGTCGGTTCTTCGGTTGCTCACTTATCACTGTGAATTGGGTTGGTTGAGTGTGAATTGAGTTGGTTTGGGCTCAAATTAAAGGATTCATCGCAAGGAATAATAAGACCTTCAAGCTATGTGAAATAAAGAAATATCTCTACAGTGCTCTGGAAACAGTCGACAAAAAAGCTTGGAAAAAATGTATCCACAAAACAATCAGAATCGAAACAGAGATGTGGGATCTAGATGATCGCATAGAATCATTATCAGAAAATATATTCCAGTTGTCATCAATCCTAATGAAACTGATTCATCTAGTGAAGAATCACTCAACGAATCCCTGTAGACTTTTTTCAAATTAAAATTATCGCAATGTCTTATTCGAAGTAAGTATTCCCATTAAATCTATAAAATTGTTTCTGAATCAACTATAAAATCCAATAAAGAATATGAATCTTCATTTCCAAACCAACAAGAATATATAAGGTGTATCTCTCAGTGCAGCCACATTTTTCTACTTCCTGAAAATGTCAAAATCGAAGCCGAAACGACGAACAACGCAAAATTTTGAACGCGGTTCAACTCGAAACCAGATGTTCAAATTTTTAACTGCGGAAATCTATTCTATTTATATACTTATTTGGTGATGTTTCGAAGACTTTATCCATCTTCATTATCATACCGACGATCAATTTGATATCATCAGTGTCAATGATAATTATAATATCGAATTTATTTACATCAAAAGACGAATCATAACTACAAATTATAATGTTTTGATTTAAATAGATTGGATAAAGAAAATGGATAGAGTATTTAAAACGTCACCAGATGATACATATTTCTTTTAATATGCAAAATGGGTACGTACATTCGATTAGCGACTGTTCAATTTTTGTTGATACACTCGTCTCAAACATATGTCCACGTTTAGTTTGTTGGTGTTCCCACCAAATTTTGTGTAAAAAATTGACTCAAGTGCTCAAAACGCTTGGAATGTTGACAGCAGCATACGGTGATTGTTCTCCGAGTCAGAAAAATGTAGTGGTACAACCTATTCATAGAAAGTCAAGATGTGAATGAAGATGCTCGCCCTGGACGCTCCAGCACATCAACAACCTATGAAACTGTTGAGAAAGTGAAGAAAATTGCTATGGAGAATCATCGAATCACTATTAAAGAAGTTGCTGAGAATTTCGGCATATTATTTGGCTCATGCCGTGCAATTTTTTCGGAAATTTCGGGCATGAAGCGCGTAGCAGCGAAATTCGCTTCAAAATTGCTGAAGTTTCACCAAAAAAACCGTCGCATGAGCATTGCTCAGGAATTGTTGAATGACGTTAACGACGATCCAGTTTGCTTAAAAGGGTCATAACTGGTGATAAATCCTAGGTATATTATTACATCGAAACCAAGTCCAATTATCCTAATAAAAGATCCCAGGAGAGCCAAGATATAAAAAAGCGCCAAGTTCGGTCAATAACGAGAATTATCTTGAAGTTATGCGCCGCTTGCGATAAGCAATACGAGAAAAACGCCCGGCATCGTGGAAAGCAACTCATGGCTTTTGCATCACGATAATGCACCTGCATATGCACAAGTGTATTATTTCATAGGGGGACTACTTTGAAGGGGACAAAATGAAAATATATGAATAAATAAATATTTTTTGAGAAAAATTATAATTCACCTAATTTTTTTGAACAGACCTCGTAATTTCACCAAATGTAACACTTAGCTATTACTATGCGTGGCAGGTGACCAACATAAACTAAAATGTTAGCTTCATATTTGACCATATGACCTTTTTAAACAATTTGGGAGATTCCATCATTGAAAAGCCTTGACAATTTTCTCAAAATCTCTGACCGAAGAGAGCTTAAGATAACTTTGCATGTTTTTATTACGAAGGGAAGAATTATATACAGTATATGAAAATGACATCAACTGGTTGCATAAAACATCTTTCGGATAAATAACAAAATTTGAAGAATTGATAAACAATGGTACATTATGGGATTGTTGTTATTTATTTCCAGAACAATAAATATTATACATAACAGTTCAAAAGTATTTTTGAAATGACCACACGTCTATGTGTAAATTAATTTACAGAATATTTTCATTTGCATTTGATAATTACAATAACTAGTTGTGAATTGACGCAAATGGTAGTATGCGTGATTCTTGATCTAAAGATCCAACTTTGTCCAGATATTTTTCTCAATGGGACTACACTTAGCCATAATGGTGGTTTGAGTTATTCACATTACCTAACTAGAACACGATTATTCAAAAAATAAAACTCTGTATTACATCACTTGACATATATTTTCAGTACATGTATATTCAAGACAACAACATATATAAACCAAAATAAAAGTATTATCAATAGAAAATACAAATTAGTAACTACCTCACTTAAAATTACACTTGATATTCCCAGTTTCGATTCTAAAACTACAAAACATCATGTTATACATTACCTAACATTATGTCAAAAAAAATAAAAAAATCTTTTATGTTTGGAAAATATTTTGTGATTTTGATACCATTTCTGGTTCAGGATAGTAAGCAAATGATCAAACTAATCAAAAACTATACCTAATTCATAAACAGATCCAGTGATACTATTTGACAAATCGGTAGCTGAAAAAACTGAATCAGCTCACAACCGAATTTCCCAATGAACAAGTGGGATTAGTTAATTAATCAATGTTGAGTCATTAACAAAGCACATCAACCGCAATAGTATATATGAAATTGTTAGTTTGAGAAATGAAACCGAGAGACATGAGTATTTGAGCATAAAGAAGTATCTTGTAATAACTGCTTATCAGCCAGTACAACCATTTTATTTACTTATAAACGACTGCTTGGTTGTGGTTAGTTTATTATACTTGCAAATAAACAACTTAGCTGCCATTATAAACATTATAGTTACCTATACACAACCATCGGAATTAAAAAAACTAAAAGCTTGGTACATTAAACTAATTTCTATTAATTTTTCCAATCATTGGAATGTCTTGAAATATTAATACATAGTCAAAAGTATGCGTTAAGACATGTTTGTTTATTTTTGCGGTGAATAGTGTTAGTATAGTTAGTGCTTCTTGAATCAAATATCAGGTTCTTTGTACTTTCTCTTGAAACAGTCACTCATAAAAACCGAATTATGAATACCTGATTTCAACAAAAATTCTTGAACTTAACAAATTAACAAACTTCATTGTTCCTCCCTCATTCTACCATCTTCATGTATTATCAACTAACCTAGCCGAGTTGAAGAAATGTAAAAAAATTGAACTACATTTCTTCTGAGGCAGGAGGAGGAGTTTCGTCTGCACTGTGCTCTAGAAGAACAGCCTTCTCATCTTTAACGCTACCCGTACAGTTGAATACATGTTCATATACAGGATTAGCGAAATTACCAGACTGCAAGAATATAACAATATCAAGATTAAAATAGGCAAAAGTACAGCACTTAATATGAAATTTATTTATTTTATTCGAGTAACTATAAAAAAAATTGCCGCTTACACCACTAGTGGTATATTATTTTGCACCTTTTCCATATAATCTTTATTGAAATTAAAACTGTCTAAAGATGCATTTGAAATTTAAAACTGGTGCATGAATCCACCTTGAGATGTACAGGATTAAAATCATTTGAAAACTGTAAGTTTCATGCAGAATAAATCAACAAAATCGACAGAAAAATATGACTTCAATTACAGAAGCAACATCTATTCCACTACAGATTAATGATTGAAGTTGTTAGTGGCTATGAACAGTTATGCCAATAATGTTTTTTTGCCTTAAATGAATAATCAAAGACAAATACTATCCAGCTCCTATACTAATTGAGTACTAACCTGATCAGCATCCAATGAGAAAGGCTCCGCATCTCTTTCTTGATAAATTGGATTGCTAAAATCATTCTCCTGCAGCCTTTCATGTGAGAAAGGAGTTCTGCTCTTGAAGCAATATTCAAAGACGAAAAATCCGCCTATCAGAACTATTATTATGACTGTTATGGCAGACAGCATAGGAACTAAAATGCTTCGAGATTCTTTTTCCAGCTTTCCTTTATTTGTGAAATAAGCTTGTTCACATCTGACGCCTGAAATGAATGAACATAAACTATGAAAATTACATGTATTGAGTAGTAGTCTCACAAAGGTTAGACAAAAGATGAACAAAATGTATTCATCGAATGGCAACAAGGTTCAGAACCCATTTAAATTTCTAAATGTCACAGAGGCAACAAATCAAACATCAGAGGAAATTTTATATGAATGCTCTTTCATATAAAGAACGGTAGAAGTAGAAGAGAATGTGCTGACCATGATAGAAGAAGATCCAGGTACCTCTACTCGAAAAACTGCAAATACTTTAAATATAACGGGACGATTTGGAACATTCTTAGAAACTATTTGTTGTACCCATACCACATACAACGAGTTCTTCCTGCACATTTTCTTCCAAGTATTGCATTCTATCAATGGCTTTTGCGCACATTGGTTCAAATCCCTCAACTACTGATGCTAAGTCTTTTTACCGATGAAGCCAGTTTCTCAAGAAATGCCATAAGGAATTTCCACAATAACCATGTTTAGGCTGAAGAAAATCCACATGAGGTGCTTGAAGATCGCTTTTAACGTCAGTTTGGGTGGAAATTGTAGGTGACTTCCTAATTGGACTGGTATTTCTGCCAGGAAGACTTACCGGCGAGGTATACCGCAACTTTTTGGAACATACGCTACCTCAGTTTCTGGAGGATGTACCATTGGTTACACCAGCGCATTTTAGCATATTGGCTCGAGAGTTTTTGATAGTAACATACAGAGATCGTTGGATTGGTCGAGGTGGACCTCAGTTATGGCCTGCTCGATCACCGGTCTTAAACCTTAAACCACTGGTAGTCATAAACCAATTGTGACGTGGCGAAGAGCGCACTTAGTTCGACCGACATTTCGCGGCTGTTCTCACCAAATCTATGGAATTTCCGGCGAATATTCCACCGTCTTCGATAGAATTCCGAAGAATTTTCTGCTTCCTTCGATTGCCAAATATAAGCGCGTTCCACTCGCCCACCGAGACAGTCAAGTGGAAGTTACAGTGCGGTGCGCGGAGCGATCTAGTAAGGCGATAGACATTCGAATATTAGTTGAAGTTTTAGTTGAAGTGTTTGTTGTATTTAAAGTGAAATACAGTTAAGTTTGATTTTTGTTCAGTGTAGTCAATTATTGGTCAACACACGAGAAAAAACGTAACAATATTCAAATATCTCAGCCAGGACTCTTGTGCTTTTTCGCTGTAGCTCAATTTTTCGTCAATTTCCATTAGGATCGGTTTAGCAAGTATAATAATAACAATATCCAATACAACAAATAAAAAGAGTGTCAGATTCTGACCCAGTCTTGTTGAGAATATAGAGAATATAAAGCATTAAAATGTATGGGTGTCTTAGCCATTTCAGACTTGCAAAAAATGTCTGTTTTAGTACACCTAACATGTAATAATTAAAATCATCCAGTATATAAACTAAATTGAAATCAAAAAGTATTTGAAATTATGTCTCAAGTTTCCTTTTGTTTTTTTAAAGTACTGTACAGTGCTTGATACAGTACTGTTAAACTAAAATAATAAATACGCCCGATTACTATAGTTATACGGACTGGTGCAGTTCCGGTTTAGAAAGAGTTACTGTATTTGAAAATTTGAATCTTCCAGTAGATCAAAATCTACACACTGTTACTTTCAATTCACTTCAATACTGATTTTGTTTATATTACTTTTTTCTCCTTCTTTATTAATTGCCGATCACAACCAAGCACACATACAATATCTTTGAATGAAAACATGATAACAAGAATTATTGACTTGTGATACCCTGTTTGGAACTTTGGTATAGTAATGATTAACGGAAAGAAAGATTTTAAACAGATTTTTTTAAAAAGAATGATACTGCAGTTTTATCCCAACACCAAACCGTTATTTTAACACCTCGACACGTGTTTCGATCACCAAGTGTTTATCTTCAAGAGGAAGATTAAACTGAGGTAATTATTGAGGAAATCCTACTAGTAAGATCATATATTTGTACAGTACCTACCTTTATATTCCTCAGTGCAAGTACAATAAGCCACTTCTTCACTAACGGAACAGGTACCTCCATTTTGGCAAAAGTCTTCGCAAACTGCAGGTCTTTCACAATATGTACCTGTCCAACGTTTTGTACAGTGACACACCGGCTGATCTTCTAATGAATGCACAACACACACACCACTATTGAGACAGCGATTCAGGCAAGGATTCGAGCCAATGATATATTTCTGAAAAAAAAACAATTCAATGAAACTAAGGTATTTCAGAAGACGATGAAAAGAAGAATATATCTTTCTTTAACCATATTATTTAGATGTAACTAACCTCACAATTTTTTCCGACCCACTCTTTGGGGCACTGACAAACAGTTTCATTGACAATTGTATTTGGCTTGACAGGAAAACCATTATGGCAATCCATATTTTCCACACATCCTTTGGGAGGATATCTTTCTTGGCATAAATTAATCTCGCATCGCCTTCCCCGAAAGTTCTCAGGGCAGTCACACTCAGGTTGCTTGGAACCCATTTTGCATCTGCCGCCATTCTGGCAAAGATTATCACAACCGTTCTGTTCGCATCTATCTCCAGTGTATCCAAGCATACATACGCAACGTAACACTCCATTCTGCAAGAAAGGTTTACCATGTTTGCCACATACAGAAGTTTCACAATGTTGTCCTTTGAAACCAGTGGAACAATTGCACATCATGAGATCGTTTGCTTTTGAACATACTCCGCCATTTTCGCAAATGAATTTCTCGCAATGCTGACACCTAATGAACGAATTCGTTAGTGAATTTTTTGGTTTGTTTAAAATCTATATGTATATACATGCATAAATACATATCATGAGTCAATTCAATAACAATTATACAGAAGCTCTTTGGAACTGTGCTGAGAGAACTTCAAAATATTTACAAGGTAAGAAGAATTACAATCTTGTGTTTACAAAATCGAATTAAAATTTAGGTCTTGTTGGTGCCGACTGGGCATCAAATAAAAGCTACAGAAAGTAGTATACAGGTTTAGAGCTGCTACTCAAAGGATTATTTGCAAAGGTAATTTTAATTGTATAACATTATTCAACATTAACTCAAGTGGTCAGAAATTGGCTGTTAATCCTATTTTCCATAGGCAATCTAAGCATTAGGGACGCTATATCTAATAAACATGCTATATTTGTAAATAATATCATTTCAAATAATACAGGGGCGGGTTAAAAAAGTATGGTGAATGTTAAAATCTCGAAGGCTACGTAAATGTGATTAGCGATTTTTTTATTTTGTATGTTGGTACACTCGTCTCGAACATATGTTCACAGTTTCAGCTGTTTAATTTGTTGGTGAGGGGCATGAATGTTAGAAGTGTTTTGCGTGTTCGCCGATTTTCTGCTATCGAAAAAAATGGATCACAGAATTTGCACCAAGTTTTGTGTAAAAAATTTAAATGAAGTGCTCAAAACACTTGAGATGTTGAAAGTGGCATACAGTGATTGTACTCCGAGGCAGAAAAATATTTACAAGTATATAAATATGTTTTATCTATATTTTATATGCCTGTGTGTGTACTTCTGCCTGTGTATCTTTTACTTTGTCAACAAAACGACAATAAAGTATATTTTGATTTGATTTGAAGCTTTTCACAGAAGGTCGAGAAGATGTGAATGACCACGCTCGCGCTGGACGCTCCAGCACATCAACAACTGATAAAAATGTTGAGAAAGTGATGAAAATTGTTATAGAAAATCGTCGAATCACTATAAGAGAAGTTGCTGAGGATGTCGGCATAACGGTTGGCGGAAATTTTGGGCATGAAGAGTGTGGCAGC